GTGTGTGAGAGCGTTTCATGTGTGTGAGAGAGCGTTTCATGTGTGTGTGAGAGCGTTTCATGTGTGTGTGTGTGAGAGCGTTTCATGTGTGTGTGTGAGAGCGTTTCATGTGTGTGTGAGAGCGTTTCATTTGTGTGTGAGAGAGCGTTTCATGTGTGTGTGTGAGAGCGTTTCATGTGTGTGTGAGAGCGTTTCATGTGTGTGTGAGAGAGCGTTTCATGTGTGTGTGAGAGCGTTTCATGTGTGTGTGTGAGAGCGTTTCATGTGTGTGTGAGAGAGCGTTTCATGTGTGTGTGAGCGTTTCATGTGTGTGTGAGAGAGCGTTTCATGTGTGTGTGAGCGTTTCATGTGTGTGTGTGAGAGCGTTTCATGTGTGTGTGTGAGAGAGCGTTTCATGTGTGTGTGAGAGAGCGTTTCATGTGTGTGTGAGCGTTTTATGTGTGTGTGTGTGAGAGCGTTTCATGTGTGTGTGAGAGAGCGTTTCATGTGTGTGTGAGCGTTTCATGTGTGTGTGTGTGAGAGCGTTTCATGTGTGTGTGTGTGTGTGAGAGCGTTTCACATGTGTGTGAGAGAGCGTTTCATGTGTGTGTGTGAGAGCGTTTCATGTGTGTGTATGAGCGTTTCATGTGTGTGTGTGTGTGAGAGCGTTTCATGTGTGTGTGAGCGTTTCATGTGTGTGTGTGAGAGCGTTTCATGTGTGTGTGTGAGAGAGCGTTTCATGTGTGTGTGTGAGAGCGTTTCATGTGTGTGTGTGAGAGCGTTTCATGTGTGTGTGTGTGAGAGCGTTTCACATGTGTGTGAGAGAGCGTTTCATGTGTGTGTGTGAGAGCGTTTTCATGTGTGTGTGAGAGTGTTTCATGTGTGTGTGAGAGCGTTTCATGTGTGTGTGTGAGAGCGTTTCATGTGTGTGTGTGTGAGAGCGTTTCACATGTGTGTGAGAGAGCGTTTCATGTGTGTGTGTGAGAGCGTTTCACGTGTGTGTGAGAGCGTTTCATGTGTGTGTGTGAGAGCGTTTCATGTGTGTGTGTGAGAGCGTTTCATGTGTGTGTGAGAGCGTTTCATGTGTGTGAGAGAGCGTTTCATGTGTGTGTGTGAGAGAGCGTTTCATGTGTGTGTGTGAGAGCGTTTCATGTGTGTGTGTGAGAGCGTTTCATGTGTGTGTGAGAGCGTTTCATGTGTGTGTGAGAGAGCGTTTCATGTGTGTGTGTGAGAGAGCGTTTCATGTGTGTGTGAGTGAGAGCGTTTCACATGTGTGTGAGAGAGCGTTTCATGTGTGTGTGAGAGCGTTTCATGTGTGTGTGTGTGAGAGCGTTTCACATGTGTGTGAGAGAGCGTTTCATGTGTGTGTGAGAGCGTTTCATGTGTGTGTGTGTGAGAGCGTTTCATGTGTGTGTGAGAGAGCGTTTCATGTGTGTGTGAGAGAGCGTTTCATGTGTGTGTGTGAGAGCGTTTCATGTGTGTGTGAGAGCGTTTCATGTGTGTGTGTGTGAGAGAGCGTTTCATGTGTGTGTGTGTGAGAGCGTTTCATGTGTGTGTGTGAGAGCGTTTCATGTGTGTGTGTGTGAGAGCGTTTCACATGTGTGTGAGAGAGCGTTTCACATGTGTGTGTGTGAGAGCGTTTCATGTGTGTGTGAGAGAGCGTTTCATGTGTGTGTGAGAGAGCGTTTCATGTGTGTGTGTGAGAGAGCGTTTCATGTGTGTGTGAGAGAGCGTTTCATGTGTGTGTGAGAGAGTGTTTCATGTGTGTGTGAGAGAGCGTTTCATGTGTGTGTGTGAGAGAGCGTTTCATGTGTGTGTGTGAGAGAGCGTTTCATGTGTGTGTGTGAGAGAGTGTTTCATGTGTGTGTGTGAGAGAGCGTTTCATGTGTGTGTGTGAGAGAGCGTTCATGTGTGTGTGAGAGCGTTTCATGTGTGTGTGAGAGAGCGTTTCATGTGTGTGTGTGAGAGAGCGTTTTCATGTGTGTGTGAGTGAGAGCGTTTCACATGTGTGTGAGAGAGCGTTTCATGTGTGTGTGTGTGAGAGCGTTTCATGTGTGTGTGTGTGAGAGCGTTTCACATGTGTGTGAGAGAGCGTTTCATGTGTGTGTGAGAGCGTTTCATGTGTGTGTGTGAGAGCGTTTCAGTGTGTGTGAGAGAGCGTTTCATGTGTGTGTGTGAGAGCGTTTCATGTTGTGTGTGAGATGCGTTTCATGTGTGTGTGTGAGAGAGCCGTTTTCATGTGTGTTGTTGTGAGAGCGTTTCATGTGTGTGTGGTGAGAGCGTTTCATGTGTCTGTGTTGTGTGAGAGCGTTTTTTCACATGTGTGTGAGCATGAGCGTTTCAACGATCTGTGTGTGATGAGAGCGTTTCATGTGTGTGTGAGAGAGCGGTTTCATGTGTGTGTGTGAGAGAGCGTTTTACTGTGTGTGTGAGAGAGCGTTTCATGTGTGTGTGTGAGAGTGTTTCATGTGTGTGTGAGAGAGCGTTTCATGTGTGTGTGTGAGAGAGCGTTTCATGTGTGTGTGAGAGAGCGTTTCATGTGTGTGTGTGTGTGAGCGTTTTTTCTGAATAATGTCCCTTACGGCGCCTCATATATATATGTGTGTGTGTGTGTGTGTGTGGTGAGTGTGTGTGTGAGTGTTTGCTTGTGTGAGGTGGTGTGTGGTGATGCATGTGACGAGTGTTGTGTGAGTGTGTGTGTGAGTGTGAGTGTGAGTGTGTGTGTGTGTGTGTGTGTGTGTGTGTGTGTGTGTGTGTGTGTGTGTGTGTGTGTGTGTGTGTGTGTGTGTAGGGTTAGTAATACCACACACACTCAGTCTGAGCTCCAGCCTGACACACTTCACTTCAGTTCATCAGGACTTGGTGCTGTCTCTGCTAACTCATCAGGGGGGGACAAACCCCTCGGGGGTCCTCGTAGACATCACTGTTACCATAGTTACTTTACAACCACTTCAAAAGGAGTTCTTGATTCTCTGCTGTTCTCAGAGAGCGTTATACGTGTTGCCTCCCCGCTCTGGATCCTCTCAATGTGCATAACTGTGTGTATTTCTATCTATACAACAAACATGCATGTGTGTATAAAAGAGTGGAAAACTGAAGGTCCTTCTTCTCCTTCTTCGTCTGCAGCAGCGTCTCTAAATAATCACCTGTGGCTAACGTGAAGCTAGCTGTCAGTTCTATTAAAGGTTGGTCCTGCTGAGTTGCTCTGAGCTGTAAACACGGTACATACAGCTAAATATAGTAAATATCACACTGACCTCCTCCCCGTTCTCTCCTCTCACCACCTGAAGAGCCTTCATCACCTGAGTAGAAGCTATCGCTGAGGCTAAAACCTGAAGAAGAGATGACATCATCAAGAGGAGGAGGAGGAAGATGAAGAGGAAGAAGATGACAAGTAGGGGGAGTCTCACCTCGGCCCTGAGCTCTGATTGAATGCGTACGATGCACCTCCTCTGGATCATCTTGAAGGTGAAGCTGATGACTCCTCTGGTCCTCAGCAGAGCCTCTGAACACTGAGACCTGCGGCTCTGAGCGACCAATCAGAACACAGGTTAACATCCCATAAACCCCTCCTCTACCAATCAGAACACAGGTTAACATCCCATAAACCCCTCCTCTACCAATCAGAACACACGTTAACATCCCATAAACCCCTCCTCTACCAATCAGAACACAGGTTAACATCCCATAAACCCCTCCTCTACCAATCAGAACACAGGTTAACATCCCATAAACCCCTCCTCTACCAATCAGAACACACGTTAACATCCCATAAACCCCTCCTCTACCAATCAGAACACAGGTTAACATCCCATAATACCCTCTCCTCTACCAATCAGAACACAGGTTAACATCCTATAAACCCCTCCTCTACCAATCAGAACACACGTTAACATCCCATAAACCCCTCCTCTACCAATCAGAACACACGTTAACATCCCATAATACCCTCTCCTCTACCAATCAGAACACAGGTTAACATCCTATAAACCCCTCCTCTACCAATCAGAACACACGTTAACATCCCATAAACCCCTCCTCTACCAATCAGAACACAGGTTAACATCCCATAAACCCCTCCTCTACCAATCAGAACACAGGTTAACATCCCATAATACCCCCCCCCCCTCTACCAATCAGAACACAGGTTAACATCCCATAAACCCCGCCTCCCTGTACTGTATCTAAAGCTCTTAACGTGATTGCTCATATTGCAAGCCATCTTTTTCAACCGGGCCACATTCCAAACTAATGGAATAGCCCTGGGGTACATCATGAAGCCCACCCAGTCGCCCAGCCCCCCTTCAAGGATTGTTTCTGAAAGAGTATGGAGCTCAAACTCGTTTTCTCTTGTATTAAAGACATGAAACCCCCCCCCCCCCCGTCTGAACCATAGGTCACATGCTGAAGCCCACCCAGTCGTCCAGCCCCTGGATGTGCAGGGTGACGGTCTTGGCCCTCTTGTTGTTGGACCCCAGGAAGAACTGGGCCCGGCGCCTGGAGCTGAGCCTCTCTTCAGGCTGAGAGGAGGAGGAAGTGGAGGAGGAGAGGAGAGAGGAGATCTCAGAGGCCAGGAGGCGCGTCTCTCCGGGGGTCGTGGAGCTGCAGGGACACAGGGAGGGAGGGAGGTAGGCAGGCAGGGAGGGACACAGGGAGGGAGGGAGGGACACAGAGAGGGAGGGACACAGAGAGGGAGGGACACAGGCAGGGAGGGAGGGACACATGGAGGGAGGGAGGCAGGGAGGGAGGGAGGGAGGGACACAGGGAGGGAGGGAGGGTTACTGTTGAGACAGTATTTTGTTTTTGATAAGAAAGGCCGCCTCAGTTTGACGTCTGTAGTCAACACGGTATAAAAGACTACAATTCCACGGCGCCTCCTCCAAAGTGACAGTGATGCGCGACTTGCTAGAAAGATGCCGTTGAGGAACAGTTTTTAACCGTTAAACTACCCTGTAAGTCAGGGGGGTCAAACTCACACACAGTGGGCCAACATTTAAAAGTGGGTGCGAGTCGGGGGCCGGACTGGTTCAGGGTTTATTGCAGAACGTATTGAAATGAACTTATTGCACAAATTCAACCTGGAACTAACAAAGCTTCAATTATTGCCTATAAAAACAACATTAAACAATCAGTTGCTTTCATTTCTTATGAGTACATTTCCCCCAGGCCAACAACAACAACAACAACAAAACGATTCCCCTCAAAGAAACAAACAAACATGCCTCCCGTTGTCTCAAGAACAGACAAAGGAGACATCCATTGAAACTCAGTGTGCTGTGACTAAGCCAGATACTTGGCATCTCATCTTGGGTTCATCAACGTTTGGGCTCAGGCTCTGATTGAGTGAAGGTGTGTATGCTTTAAGTTATGAAGATAAGCCTTATCGAGAAAGAAAGAATACCTAAGTTCTTTGTTATTTTATTTGAGTTTCGCCTCTTTGTAAAGGCCTCTTTTCTTTGTTGCAGTTATTATTATATTTTGAGCAAACAGATCGCATAATATCATCCAAGCAACTCTTCAACTGTGAGTAATATAAAGGAAAGAAAACAAGTTGAAATGTCTGTTTAAGGCGTCCAGTGGCTTGATAGAAAAACAAGGAGGAAGCCAAGACAGTTACTTTAAAAATGTAATCCATTACAAGAAGCTGCTGATTTCCTTTCTGCATCAGTCTGTGATGACTGTCTGTCCTCTGGCGCCTCTAGTGGCCGTCTGGTCTTTCCCGACGGGCCGACGGGCTGAGTGGAAACTGAGGCCCCGTCCACACGGAGACGATTTCAGTTGCATCCGCTAAAGGTCTTTATCGTATAGACGGTTCGTCCACACGAAGCCGAAACGGAGCGCTCCGAAACCGATACACGTTGAAACCGGCTCCCAAGGTGGGTTAGTCTGGAGAGGAAACGCTTGCGGCTCCGTGTGTACGCCCTATACGATCATTCCCTGAATCTATGACGCCATAGTCCCGCCTCTCCCGCTCACCCCCGCGTCATTGCTGATGCGTTTCCCCAACAACAACAATGGCGGATCACAGGGTTGCGTTCGTGCTCCAGACGCTACTGACCATGATACTTGTTTGTTTATGCCTGATGCCCATGCTCGGGGGTCTTAATCGTTGCTGTATTTTGTGGCGGAAGTACAGCCACAAAATATGTACTACAGCGTCTCCGGCGGTTTCGAGCGGTTCGTTTGGACGCACACGTTTCTTGAGCCGATTCCGTGTGGACGGGGCCTGAATCTCACATTATTATATTTTGAATCACCGTCATTAATTGTGAACATTTTCCACTGCTTAAAATCATTCTCTCCAGTGTTGGCTATCGGCCCCTACAGTATATTAAACAACTCATTCAACAACTCATTCAACAACTCATTCAACAACTCATTCAACAACTCATTCAACAATTCATTCAACAACTCATTCAACAATTCATTCAACAACTCATTCAACAACTCATTCAACAATTCATTCAACAATTCATTCAACAACTCATTCAACAATTCATTCAACAATTCAACAATTCATTCAACAATTCATTCAACAACTCATTCCCTAAATGTTGGTAGAAATGCAGGAAATGGGATTAAAATAAAGATCGTTTTTCAGGTGCAGGACCCCCTAACCCTGTGTGTCCCCCCCCCCCACTTCTCAAACCCCTTTGTGTATGTTGTTGGTACTTTTGTGTGCACTGATAGTCTGTGTTTTTCTAAATGTTGTTTTTCTATTTTGTTCTGTTTTGAAATGTTTTGACATCGTGCATGAGACTTTCTCAGTCTGTGGCTAAGCATGGTTTTATCGTCTCGTGCTTTTACATTAGTTTTGTTTAAATGTATTTATGCTGCTTTTTATATATGTATTGATGTACAGCACTCTGTTGTTTTTAAATGTGCTGTATGAATGAAGTTGGATTGGAGAGTAAGCATTTCCCTCTGGTCAGGAGCGCGGCTGTGTTTTGGTTTGTTGCCTCAGACTCACTTCTGGATGACGCTCTGCAGACTCAGCATCATCCCCAGCTCTCCCTGCAGCTTCTCCTGGTTCCAGCGACACTCTGACAGGTACCGGAGTGCCTGGGAACACAGGAGAGGAGTTTCAGTATCTCTATGAACCACCTCAGGTACCAGAGTGCCTGGGAACACAGGAGAGGAGTTTCAGTATCTCTATGAAGCACCTCAGGTACCAGAGTGCCTGGGAACACAGGAGAGGAGTTTCAGTATCTCTATGAAGCACCTCAGGTACCGGAGTGCCTGGGAACACAGGAGAGGAGTTTCAGTATCTCTATGAAGCACCTCAGGTACCGGAGTGCCTGGGAACACAGGAGAGGAGTTTCAGTATCTCTATGAACCACCTCAGGTACCGGAGTGCCTGGGAACACAGGAGAGGAGTTTCAGTATCTCTATGAAGCACCTCAGGTACCGGAGTGCCTGGGAACACAGGAGAGGAGTTTCAGTATCTCTATGAACCACCTCAGGTACCGGAGTGCCTGGGAACACAGGAGAGGAGTTTCAGTATCTCTATGAAGCACCTCAGGTACCGGAGTGCCTGGGAACACAGGAGAGGAGTTTCAGTATCTCTATGAACCACCTCAGGTACCGGAGTGCCTGGGAACACAGGAGAGGAGTTTCAGTATCTCTATGAACCACCTCAGGTACCGGAGTGCCTGGGAACACAGGAGAGGAGTTTCAGTATCTCTATGAAGCACCTCAGGTACCGGAGTGCCTGGGAACACAGGAGAGGAGTTTCAGTATCTCTATGAACCACCTCAGGTACCGGAGTGCCTGGGAACACAGGAGAGGAGTTTCAGTATCTCTATGAACCACCTCAGGTACCGGAGTGCCTGGGAACACAGGAGAGGAGTTTCAGTATCTCTATGAACCACCTCAGGTACCGGAGTGCCTGGGAACACAGGAGAGGAGTTTCAGTATCTCTATGAACCACCTCAATATCAGAGCGGTGTGGAGACGGCAGAACTTCCCAACTGTGCAGATGCTTAGCAGGCTGTGTCACACCGTACTACTTCCACCTGCGGCACGTATTTCTGCAGGTGTTTGAGTTCCACGGCGTCAACAAGATAATCCTGAATACACCCAGAAAAAGAGCTAAATGGTACGATACCATGTACTTTGTTGTCCCCGTAAGGAAATGTGTTCTGTCTCCGTCCTGCAGTTCCACATGCAGTGTTGGGAAAGTTCACTTTCTACATGAACTAGTTCAGTTCACAGTTCACAAATTTTAAAATGAACTAGTTCAGTTCATAATAACATTTTTTGAACTAAAGTTCATGGTTTCAAAAATGAACTAATTTATAGTTTATAGTTATTTTTTCAATACGTTGCTGCGAGCTATTATTTGTCAAAATGATTGCCACAACCCATAGACCCTAACCATATAGACCCTAACCATATAGACCCTAACCATATAGACCCTAACCATATAGACCCTAACCATATAGACCCTAACCATATAGAACCACAGACAGCAATCAGAATACTGGCATTTCTATAACGCTTTGCTGCCGCCCATTCAGTCCACACTAGTAGCAGCTGCAGCTTTCATCTCTACAGTATATTTTCAAAAACATGAGGAAAAACGTGCTGCTTGAATGGTCTTTATTAAGTATAAGAATCTAAATATACTTAAAGTACCAAAAGTGAAAGTAGTCATTGTGCAAACATATAACATATAAACATGTGCCGACATAACTCTGTACTAACACAACACGAGGTAGGAACCAGGCTGAGGTATGAAACTAATGTTACAGGCAAACGTTAGATTTTTTCCGTCTGAGTCAGTACTGACTTTAACGTAAAACTCTTTTAAATGCTCATACGCCGACGCCGTAGAGTCTGACTCTGAGCGAGTGCTGCTGCAGCTGCTCTCGGCTTCGTCCATACTAATTCATTCATTCATTCAATCAATGCTCGGCGGTTCAGCGGTTCCACATTGTTTGTTGTGAGGAGTCTGATGACGTATATTTTAGTGCGACAGCCGCGTATGCGTCACAGGCAGCTTGCTGTTGCCAGATTGGGTGGTTTTCCGCATTATTTTGAAGCCTGTTTACGGTGTGTTTTAACTGGGTTTTCGGCTGAAAGGCATATGAAATCTGGCACACTTTTGAACGCCGTTATACAGCGCTGAGAATGAACGCGTTCTCAATTACGTTCATCTAGCGGAAATACAACTACGTTCAGTTCACGTTCGCCCAAAAATATGAACACGTTCATGAACGATCGTTCATTGAACGCGTTCAGGTACATCACTGTCCACATGTACGTATAAAACATAGTACACATTAAAATACATGCACATATCATCACAAACAGACTGATGTTGGAACTGCTCCAGAAAGCTGAGAGCACATCATCACATTTTTTTATTGAACCTTTATTTAACCAAATAAAAAGCATTGAGATAAAATCTCATGTTCAAAGCTGACCTGGCCAAGAAGGCAGCAACGTGACACAGAACACAGACATATGAAATACAGAGAAAACAACTAAGAAAACAAAAGAGGAGAAGCAGTCCCTACATTGAGCACATAGGACAGTCAGAAAGGTGCTACTTATTACTGCAAGAGCAGCTGGAGGGAAGGAGCTCAGACAACTTCAATCTAAAACAGGCTATTGAGACAAGTGCCCTCAGTTTGAGGCGTGATTGAAGGTCGTTCCAAGACCAAGGACCAGAATGAAAAAGACTCCTTTTCCCAGCCTCGGTCCGCACAGCAGGAACCTGGACCCGTATCCAGGCACCTGGACCCGTATCCAGGCACCTGGACCCGTATCCAGGCACCTGGACCCGTATCCAGGCACCTGGACCCGTATCCAAGCAGCTGGACCCGTATCCAGGCACCTGGACCCGTATCCAGGCACCTGGACTCGTATCCAGGCACCTGGACCCGTATCCAGGAACCTGGACCCGTATCCAGGCACCTGGACCCGTATCCAGGCACCTGGACCCGTATCCAAGCACCTGGACCCGTATCCAGGCAGTGGGTCTGAGGCGGGCTCAGCGCCACGAGGGGGCATTGCCCCCTCAGTTGTATTCTTTGCCCCCTCACGTTGAGCATCATTCTTCCATCAAAAAGTACAATAAATGTCACAATTATTAAATAACTTTAAATAATGATTTCCCCCCACACACGGTACTGTGTGTGGACCAGATGTGCGGGTCAAGCAACGTGTAAACAAGCCTCAACCCCAAGTGAGCTTGTAGTCTTAACGTTAGCGTGTGTGCTAGCTGTAAACACGGTCGGGTGGGGGACCAAAACGTCCCCGTTCCCGGTGGCCGGTACCCGGTTCAAACTCCCGAAAATGTTCCTGTTTTTGAACGTGCGTTAAAAAAAACAGAGCAAAGTGAAATCAATGTTACGTGTCAGTAAAGACAGAGTAACAGTGTTGTGCCTGTTTGTAGCGTTAGCTACTTCTTCTTCTTTTTTGTTTAATGGCGAATCGCTTCCACTTGGAGCTTATAGCGCCACCTACTGTTGAGTTATTACAGCTTATAGCGCCACCTACTGTTGAGTTATTACAGCTTATAGCGCCACCTACTGTTGAGTTATTACAGCATATAGCGCCACCTACTGTTGAGTTATTACAGCATATAGCGCCACCTACTGTTGAGTTATTACAGCATATAGCGCCACCTACTGTTGAGTTATTACAGCTTATAGCGCCACCTACTGTTGAGTTATTACAGCATATAGCGCCACCTACTGTTGAGTTATTACAGCATATAGCGCCACTTACTGTTGAGTTATTACAGCATATAGCGCCACCTACTGTTGAGTTATTACAGCATATAGCACCACCTACTGTTGAGTTATTACAGCTTATAGCGCCACCTACTGTTGAGTTATTACAGCATATAGCGCCACCTACTGTTGAGTTATTACAGCTTATAGCGCCACCTACTGTTGAGTTATTACAGCTTATAGCGCCACCTACTGTTGAGTTATTACAGCTTATAGCGCCACCTACTGTTGAGTTATTACAGCATATAGCGCCACCTACTGTTGAGTTATTACAGCTTATAGCGCCACCTACTGTTGAGTTATTACAGCTTATAGCGCCACCTACTGTTGAGTTATTACAGCTTATAGCGCCACCTACTGTTGAGTTATTACAGCTTATAGCGCCACTTACTGTTGAGTTATTACAGCTTATAGCGCCACCTACTGTTGAGTTATTACAGCTTATAGCACCACCTACTGTTGAGTTATTACAGCATATAGCGCCACCTACTGTTGAGTTATTACAGCTTATAGCGCCACCTACTGTTGAGTTATTACAGCTTATAGCGCCACCTACTGTTGAGTTATTACAGCATATAGCGCCACCTACTGTTGAGTTATTACAGCATATAGCGCCACCTACTGTTGAGTTATTACAGCTTATAGCGCCACCTACTGTTGAGTTATTACAGCATATAGCGCCACCTACTGTTGAGTTATTACAGCATATAGCGCCACCTACTGTTGAGTTATTACAGCATATAGCGCCACCTACTGTTGAGTTATTACAGCTTATAGCGCCACCTACTGTTGAGTTATTACAGCTTATAGCGCCACCTACTGTTGAGTTATTACAGCATATAGCGCCACCTACTGTTGAGTTATTACAGCATATAGCGCCACCTACTGTTGAGTTATTACAGCATATAGCGCCACCTACTGTTGAGTTATTACAGCATATAGCGCCACTTACTGTTGAGTTATTACAGCTTATAGCGCCACCTACTGTTGAGTTATTACAGCATATAGCGCCACCTACTGTTGAGTTATTACAGCATATAGCGCCACCTACTGTTGAGTTATTACAGCTTATAGCGCCTCCTACTGTTGAGTTATTATAGCATATAGCACCACCTACTGTTGAGTTATTACAGCATATAGCGCCACCTACTGTTGAGTTATTACAGCATATAGCGCCACCTACTGTTGAGTTATTACAGCTTATAGCGCCTCCTACTGTTGAGTTATTACAGCATATAGCGCCACCTACTGTTGAGTTATTACAGCATATAGCGCCACCTACTGTTGAGTTATTACAGCTTATAGCGCCTCCTACTGTTG